TATCTTTTTTAATCTTCATGAACAATGTGTGCTCCCCCTGGTGGCTGTAGTAATGTCTTTGGCAGTCGAGACAGCAGATTCTAGCACAACTCATTTCTTCCAACATCAAATTGAACAAATTTCCTATAACAACTCGGCTTTCAAAAAAATTGATTTCCTTCAATTCATCAAACCCCTTGTTTGTTTTTTATCCAAGAGATTCATTGTTAACTCTAAACCATCTAGTTACCTAAAGAATTTTGTCTCGTTCTTTGTTGTTTTGGATAAAAGAAAATCTTACAAAGCTTAAACCACACCCACCAGCAATAGGCAGAAACTCTTGGAATTGAAAATCATGTAGTGCATATATATATACATAAAAGACACTGGAGGTGATCCATCGAGTCAATATAGTACGCTAGCAAAAAAGGAAATAAAATGTTACAGGATGGAAATGTAATTTAATAGCTGAGTGAGCACTTGATCAGCTTATTTCATCCTTTGCAAGAAAAAGGGAGAGTCAGGCAAGCCAGGTGGTTAAATTGTAATACAGTCGAAATTCTATCACCCGTGAAAACTGTCATTGGGATTCTACTTTTGGATCTGGCCGACATAGAAACAGATGTGTGTCTCAATGCAAATCGCAGGCCACATCTCCTGGAGCAAAACTTACAGTGAGACGGGAATTTTAACTGGTTTCAACTCCGAAGAAGGGACCAGACTCAATTGACTATAATTGTTCCAACTGTTTAGAATTCCCAAGTTGGACTGGGGCTAAATATGTGGTTCTCATTTTGTGGCCTTGAAAAAGAAGACAGTAGGATTCCTCCATGTTCTGCCCTTAAAAAAGGAAAGAAAAACAAAAATTCCAAAAACGGGGGGGAGAGGATTTTAAGTTGAATTACAAAGGTTTGGCCAGAAATGTCTCAGCCACAGGACATTTCTTCAGTGGAGAAGGGTATGGTTCAGACAGAAAGGTCAAGGTGAAGCCTAAGTAGCATTTTGTGCGTAATTCTTGCCCGTTATAAGAAGTGAATTGACTGTTTCACATTACAGGAGCCAATGATGCACAGCCCCTTCAACTGAGCCCCTCAGCACATTCACCAGAGCCTCCACTGGTATCCTCCAGCATGAAGCAGAGCGGGTAGGACTTCTTCTAAAAGGAAAACCAGGCAGGGTAATTCAAGTGAGCGAAGCCGATGATGGAAATATGCAGTGTGCTTTACCCGGACCACAGCTCAATTAAAAAAATCCCAATCTCCTTACCAGAGACCAGAGACTAGCATACGGGGAAACATAGCTGTCAGGGAGCAGGTCACTGCCAGGAGGTTAATTCCATAGGGATTTCTGTGAATCCGGGGAGGTAAAAGGAACGCTTGTACCAGTATCGCACGTTTCAATTCATCTGTGTCCACAGTGCTCCAGAGTTCCTTCTCATTCCTCTGCTCCCATCTGTCTCCTACCCCAAAGAGAAGAAAACTACCTTCCAGGGCCTCTTGTAGTTTCCAACCTTCAGTAACTTGTAGCAAGTTCACAAATGGTGGCCTAAGCCTATAATCCCCGGTACTCAGCAGACTGAGGAAGGACTTCAAGTTCAAAGCCAGCCTAAACAATTTAACAAGATCCTGTCTCAAAATAAAAATCAGAAGTACTGGGGAGGTAGCTCAGAGCAAGAGCCCTGGGTGGCTGCTCAGTACTGCCAAAAAGAAATGAAGAGAAAGAAAAGTCATGATGCCCTTGAGAAGGACAGAGTCCTGTCTCTTGTCCCTCTAGGCTCCTTTCTTTATTTTGCTTTCCCTCCTTGCCAAAGAGCAGCCACCTCTCCCAGGGAAGTTATTACAGTGTACTCCAACAAGGAAGATGACAAAATCCCACCTGTATTCATTTAGAGCACGGCGTTGTCCTCTTTGCAAACAGTGCTGTTAACAGAGCCTTATTGCTATGCATCCATGAATGGATATGGCAGTGGGACAGCGCCCTGAAGTGCGGGCCACACCCCTGTGCCCACACGGCCCTGCATCGCACACTTAGCTCAGCACACAGTCACACTGAGTGTCTTGTGTGACCAAACCAAAGGGCTCAGGACACGGTCATGTGCTCACATTTAGGGCAGACAAGCAAGGGGCATGAGGGAGGGGGGACTTGAACTTCCTGAAATTTTGATGTCTCAGTACTGCTTGAGAATTTTAGTAACGGACACTGCTCCTTCTTATTCTCCCCAAGCCATCAGAGAGCTAGCTGAGTGCCTCTCTATTTTCTTTGGGGTATGTCTATATTTTTAAGAATTATTTTTTTAATCTACAAATAAAAGACAAGCGCTAGTGTAAAGACAAATGACCTTTGAGGCATGATTCTCAAATTTAACAGTGTGCCAGTGTCAGGATGAATCTGCAGTCCCTGGGCCCATTCACACACATGATGCCATCACTCAGTAAGAGCTTTCGAAAAATATTTTCATGGTAAGTCTCTCAGCACCCTCAGAAATGATTCCTCTAACCTGCGCGCGTATGTGTGCATGTGTGTGGTACTGGGTTGAGGACCCAGGGCCTGTCTTGCATATGCTAGAGAAGCACTGTAGCACTGAGCTACACCCTAGCCACATAAAACCATTCCAGAGAGCAGAAGCAGCCCCAGCGCCAGCGTGCTAGCTGCAGAGGATGCACAGAGGCTCGGGCAGGCCCTGGTTGCAGACGGCAGAGCCCAACTTTCAGTCAGGCTCGATGTAACTCTGCATGGCCTCTGGATCTCACACTGCTGGACTGTGGCTCACAGCCACCTGTCCTCAGAGCCACACAATTCTGAAAGACTCACCTGCAGCTATGGGACATGGGAACAACAGGAGACAGACCTGGAAAGCACCCCCCTCCCACTGTAGGTGGCACTTGGAACGCAGGCATCTTCACCCTGGACTGCGTTTTCCAGGTCTGCTCCCCATTAACGGTAGAAGTCCGAACACAGAAGGGGAAGGTAACCAGACAACTCCAAGACACAGCTGGTGGTGAAACACTCCCCCCACACATCCACCCACTCCTCTCACCAGGGCACAGTGCTTCTTCCTGGCCGACACCTGCCGTTGCTTCTACAGCAGCAAGGGGGGACACATAAGAATCCACAAACATACAGGAATATGCCAAGGTCACCCAAGCACGTGAGACAAGTTGGACTGTTCACATTTTACTCCTATGGACACCATAGTCAGCTTCTGTGCAGAGTGCGCTGACACAAAGAGGGCTGCCATGTCCCTACCCTGACTCTCAGATGAGATGGTGACATCCAGGTTCCATACCCCTGCTGTGTGCATGGTCCAGACAGGAAACAACCTCTACTCTCAGCTCCTAGCTATGGTGTAGAACTTGTCTTTTTAAGACAAGAGACTGAAAACCTGAGGAGAAAAATCTTTTTGGCAAAGCAGTCTGTTTCATCACTGGTGGCATCAACTGGGCAGAGATGTGGTGGGAAACATGTCCCACGGATTCTCTGGATGGCTCCAAACTCCACTTGCAAGCAGTAACATCCATGCATCCATCGGAAATCTCTTCCATCGGTTTTACAGAGCCAAAACATGCAAAGAAATCAGTCACCCAGGAACTCCTTTGTAGTTTAAACTGCCTACATTATTCGGTAACCTGAGAGTTGCTTTTAGCTTGCAGAATCTGAGCAGTGTTCTGCAGTGCTGCACCCATTGCCTGTAGTCCTCCTTGATCCTGTTCAAACTGACTTCATCTTAGGAGGATTTCTGCCTGCTGTCTCTCAACCTCAGTTGCTAAGACCAAGCTGGGAAGGCAGGAGGGTGCTGCCGCCTCCGGCACACCAGACTGCCCACCCCATCACAAATGCTACTTCCTTTCTTTTTCTCTTCCACCTATGGCCCAACCTGGCTGCAAGTACTCAACAATTTTCTCTGGTGGCATTCATTTTGGGGAAGACCGGGACATTTGCATAAGGACACACCAGGACACTGACAGACGCTCAGCCTCACCACTCCAGTTTCAAACACTTTCCTTTATTCAGAGGCAGCCAGATGACTTCCAAGTCTCAGTAGCCATAGTTTTATGACTACAAAACTGCCTGGTACTCGGGTCTCACCACCGTCACTCCTGAACTTGATGGGGTGAGCAACCTGTGTGTCTGGGACACATTCTGGATTTTTAACCCCTGATCCCTTATAAACCAAAAGCTCCAAATGAACCCTGGTATCCAGAAGCAACCCATAGGGATTGCCCTGTAGTCTAACTTAGCAACTGGGATGCACCCAAAGCCACAGTGACACGCTTACCAACTGTCAGGCTCCCGGTGTTGAGCTGCAGGTAGGAGGGTGCCCAACACCAGCATTCTAGTCACCGAAGATGCCAGCAGCTCATGCCCCCAGGGCCTACCCCATCTTATATGGGGTGACATCATCTCAGAAGCAAAGAGAAGCCCAGACCAGGCACCAAAAGAATACAGATTTCTAGACAGTGTGCCAGTGGAAAGAACATGCCATCGAGGTTGTGATTGTCATTGTAAAAATAGAAAATAAAGGTTGTGGCTTCAGCCTGCTTCCTGGATTCAGCTGCTCCCCTTAGAAGTGGTGGTCTGGGTTAGGGGGCACAGAGAAAGGGCAGAGAGAGTGAGCTGGGCTTTCCCGAATTGGGGAACCAGGGGCAGGAATTGCCCTGCAGTGAGGGGAACCAAGGTCTGGGCTGTGAGAGTGAGACTGAGGAAAGAAGGGTAAGGATGAAGAGAGGGAAAGGGAGGAGAGGGAGGAACCAGGGAGGACAAAGGGGAATTTGAGGCCCTGTGTAAGGAAGGACCCCGTAAGAGCTCCACAGTCTACAGCCCAAGTTCAGTGGGGGGCTAAGGAACCAGCCAAGGAAGATGTGTGCCTACTGTCCAAAGCAGGCAGTGACCGGAGTGCTGCTCGTACGGGCCCTGCAAGTGCTCTGGTCATGTGGTCCACGGGTGCTTGGGTCTTCAGGTGCTCGGGTCCTCGGTCCCAGGGCGTCCCTTCCGCACTCCGCCCGTGGCACCGGCCAGCGGTCCTAGGAGGAGGAGGCCGGAAGCGGCAGTCCGTGCAAGCTACCCAGAGTGTCCGCAGCCTTGCTGCCTGGACTAGGGGGCTTCCGATCAGGGCCTGCGGAGGGAGCACAGGGCGTCGCTGGTCACCGAGGGAAGAACCAGAGACAGACCCGGGGCGCAGGAGCCTCCCGAGCAGGGCGGGGTGGGGCGCAGGGACCGCGAGCTCCCATGTCTGGGCACCACACACACGGAGGTGGCACCTGTGTCTCCGCCTAGCCACGACTCGCTTAACTTGGGTTGCTAGCCCCGGCACTCATACCCCAGGACCCCTGGCTGCGGGTACAGGAGGTGTGAGCGAGTGCAAGGGCAGAGGCTAAGATCGGCGAGATCGCTCAGCCCCGACATGGAGTGCAGCCGGCTCCCGCTTAGAGAGAAAAGTCGCCCAGCGTCGCTGTGACAAGCAGCAGGCTTCGTGGTCCCCGAGATCCGGCACACCAGAGGTGCTCACCGCTGCGTTCCCGACCCTTGGGTGTCTGATTAAGTGGTGGGGCTTGTGAGATCAGGCAGTGTTCTGCCTGCTGCTGTCATTTGGGGTTTCAAAAAGGGGCCCAGGTTGTGTTACTGGAAGCCAGAAAGCAATTTCCCTCCACCGGCCTCAGTGCTCCCTTGTTCTGCATCTCCCACACACAGTGTTTATACCCGCAGGGGCCTCTTTTTAATTCTCTACCTTTCTCCCAACAGACCCTGCCTACGGGGCACAGGGCAAGCTTGGGGTGCCTTGGTCAGGATGACCGGGTGCTCTGCATTATTCCCTGCAGCTGTCCTCCCAGCTCCAGGCCAGCTTGCTGTGACCTGTGACCGCAGGAGCTGCAGGGCCACCTCAGAGCCGGGGAAACACATTGCATGCAGCTGCATTCGCAGAGACTTTTTAAGAAATCTTAGGACATTTTCAGGACAGATGGATCCGACCCCTGGCCCTCAGTCACCTCTCAGCTCTCCTTCCTACACAGTGTGACTGTCCAGCCTGGGCTGCGGTTGGACCTTTGCTTTCTACCCCTCCCATACTTCAGGGAGGACTTGCTCAGAAAATCAAGCAGGGGAGGTTTCTCAGCCCATCCCGGATCCCTTAGAAATAAGGAGGAAAAAAAAGCACTGATTAAAAATACACAACGGGTTGCGCTGGCAGAGGATTCCAGCTCTTCTTCTCCAAGGAGTTCTGGGTCTGTGTCACTGGCCTAAGCAGCCTGAGCCTTGGGGTTCTCCAGCTCACGGAACTGAGAGTGGGGATTTTTTAAAACTTTGATCTGGGGTTGTTGTGGACAAAAGGCAGCTCAGCGCTGGCTCAAGTGAGCCCCAGCCTGGCAGTGGGGTCCTAGGGTTCTGGGATGCCAGCACTCCAGTGATATCTGACAAAATTAATTTTCAGGATCCTCTAAGAACTAATTTCGGGGCCAGGGTAGATAGCTCAGTAGAATAAGTGCTTGCCTGGCAAGCGCAAGGGCCTGAGTTCAATCCCTAGTTCAGAGAAGAAAAAAAAAAAAAACTAATCCCCCAGCAGAGCTCCTGGAACAAAGCTGCAGGTATCTTTAGCAAATATAAACAACAGTTTCTTCCCACACAGGGCAGCATCCTACAGATTTGAGTTCGGAATCTTTCGTTTTTCCAGGGAAAGGTTAGGGTTCTGAAAATAGGAGGTGAATAGCAGCTGTCTTGAGGGAGCATCCGGTGGCCGCTGTCACTTTGGGGAGCAGGCATTTAGCCTGCCCATGGAAAAACTTGTGGTGAAAAGTGAACACTCCTGTCTCTCCACTCCTTTCAGGGGATGTGAAGATGATCAGACTGGCCACCTTACCATGAAAAATTAATCAGCTGTAATACTTAATTTGACATTCAATTAGGTTCTCCTTGGAGTAACTACTGGATGTTCATCTAATGTAGGGGACATACAGTTAGACAGATAATACTGTTTGTGTTATCTGTGTACATTAGAGGCTTGAAAAACTTTTTTACTGAAAATAAGCTTAGGAAATGTCATTCCTACTATTATAAACTGAACGACAAGTAATAATAGAAATCTGATTTATGGGGTTGACCTATTTAGAGGTATTAATTTTTCAAAAGTGGGTTACAAATAAATTGTAGTAACTTGCATCACTTTATCTTAAAAAAGCAGTTCTAGGCAAGGAAGATCTTTGCCATTTTTCCGCCCCTAAAAAGAAAAAAGAATAAGAACTCACAACCCAAGTGTGTATGTAATTTTCATGCTGTGAAAGCGGATACACAACAAGTGATTGTTTTTGTGTTCCTCTGACAAAAACACTTACATGCCAACTTGAAAATTTGTTAGCAGTAATGGGCCTGGGTTGTTCCATGAGCCTTTATCTGAACCTTTTGAATAACTGTGAAGATCAGACACTAAAATATTAATTTATAACCAGAATAGCCAAATATGGTTGTGGATTTTGAAAATACTTCCTAATCGCAAGCAGATCTAACCCCAAAAGGCACTTGAATACAGCACTGTTCAAAGGCTGTTTTTTAAAAAAAGAAGGCACTGTACTCACCAAAGAAAACCAACCACCAGTGAACCCAAAAGCCGAAGTCACATCCCTTTCTGAATTAACTAGAAGCCATTCAAAATTAAAAACTGACCTTTTACCTGTGGGTCTCAACTACACTTCCTAATAGATTTCTAAAGGAGGATTTTAAATGCCCCAGGAAAGGTGGCTAATTTGGAAATGACTGCACCCCAAGTGAAATGGGGTTATTCCTTTTTCTAAGAATGCCTTCTCTTTGGGGTCAACCCAGGAGAAATGGTTTAAACTTGTGGATAAAGTATTTGAGATCAAATGAACCTGCTCAGTCCAGTGACTTCTGCAGAGAAACAAAACCTATTTTGATTTTGATTTCAACACATAGCCCTGGGTATGGAGGGGCACAAGGAAGGTCTAGGACACAACACCAGGATATGGGGGGCTGGCAAGAGCTCTCAGCCTCGATTTAAAGTTTTCCTTCACTTGGATTTTCCTCTTAAAAGATCAACGGCATTCCCTGATATATAAATCAAGTAAGTTGTAAAGGAGTTCTAAATTTCAATTTTCTTGAATTTTCTTTTCTTGGATTTATCTCTAATTGGGTAAATGAGGATTATCCTAATGTCCCAGGATATGTGCTTCCCAGTGAAAGTGGAAAGAGAAAAACTATATTTTTCTAGCAGGTCACTGCTCTGAACAGCATCTCAACAGTCACATACTCCCAAGATCTGGTTTCCCAACCTCACTAAGTTTATGTGGAAGTGGCACTTTGAAGAAGGAAGCCTCTGCTGTCACCTGCTTGCCCCTGCCACCTACTACCACCTCCTTAGGTGAGAGACAGGTACCCTAACACGGGCCCTGCTGTGATGAGGAAAGCTGCTAGCTCAGTACACAGCCAGTCTTTTGGGCTGGGACTCAAAACTCTGGAGGTGACACCCATCCCCCTTTCTATCCTAGAGCTAAGAAATTGCAAATTCCTGGAGATTAAAATCTAAACACAAACAGCTTCAAAATTAACAAACCCAGCCCCAGTTAAAGAGTCAAAGACAAGTGAATTTTTCCCAAAGTAAAGGGAAAACCAGAACTTAATGGGCAGTGTAAGCCGATGCCCTTCTCATTGCTACCCATCTACTAAATCCCTGAAATCTCTCAGTTTTAACACCAAATCTTTAACAGATCTGAGGAAGAGGGAGTACAGAAGGAGGATGGAGAAGGAATACAGAAGTCTCAGTCACACTGAAGCACAGAGGGACTGAGTCTAGAATTAGGGACAAGTAATTGAAACGCTCACTTTTCCTATGTGTTTAAGGAAAATAATCTAAGGTGAAGACTAAGACCTGATTTTAAAAAAGAAAAACTTGGAAGAAACCGCGGAGCGGTGACCACTGGAAGGGTCCAGGTGAGAGGTCAGGTGAAAGTCGGGGCACCTGGCCTGGAAGGTTCAAGAGCCAGGGCAGCTCTGCCGAAAGCAAGGCTTCGGGACCGCCAACGGGTGCAGATGGCGCCCCCGAGACCTCTGAGGGACTGGGAGCCGAGGGCCTGCCTAGCAGGGAACTAACGTCGCCAAGGCAGGGCAAGAGTCTGATTGGAGCCTGACTTCAGGCGCTCTTGTGGGGCACGACGCGCTTCCAGAATTACACTCAACTTTCGGGAAAATTTCTGCCCAGCGCCCTGTCCTTTTCTCGCTCTCGTCCTCCCCTTCGCTGGGTTCCCCGGCCTTTCCTCCCCCTCTAACATCCCTGCGCCCCAGCCCCTGCCCGTGCTCCTCACCTTCTCGGCTGGGATGCTTGAAGGTCACGGCGGCGGCGAGCTCCCCGCCGTGCACTGAAACGCTGGCCCCGGGCGGCGCCAGTGGGGGTCCCTGCGCGGGTGGCCAAGGCGGGCCTGGGGCTAGGTAGCCGCCTGCCGGCGCGCTGTACACACTGTGCTGATTGGAGGCTGGGTAGGCGCAGGCCGGGAGGAAGCCGCCGACGGCGGAGAGCCCGGAGGCCGACTGCGGAGGACAGGCTCGGTCAGGGCCCTGCACCGAGGCCATTGACTCCCTTGTCGCCCCATCAATCAAAGGGCAAGGCCTAACCCCTCATTCTCCTAGCGAGGACCTTGCGGTCAAGCGATTTTTAAGGTCTGCCCAACTGTCACTAAAGGTAATAAAAAGGGAGGAAGTCATTGTGTACACCATCGGAGTTTGGCCAAGGGCTCCCTGAGCGTCTGTGGTTCGGTTCGCAAGTCCCGCTTGATTAACAAAAACGTCCCGGGAAAGCGGCCTTCCCAAACCGGCAGGCAGGAAAGAACAGAAATGCGAGCTCTGCGGAAGGCCGCGCGGTCCTTCAGCGCTTTTCCCCGTAAAGGTCGCCTTCCTCCCCACCTCACCACGGCCTCCGCCTTGGGTTACCTGGGTGTACTTAATGTCCGCCTCCAAGGCCGGTTTCTCGAGCCCGTTCACCGCGGGGGCAGCGGGGAAGGTCGAGCGGTTCACCCCAGCCCACTCTTCCATCTTGGGGGAGTAGGTGGTGCCTTCGCTCCCAGCCAGGGCACCTGGGGGGATATGGTGTGGGTGGGTCAGAGGCAGGCACTTCTGTGCTGAGCACACGTGCAGCCCTCCAGCCTGGATGGTCACTCAAGCCCGCGACTAAGGGGCGGCTGCCGTCCAGCGTGAGCGTGCTCCGTGTCCCCACAAGCCCTAGAGGTGAACAAAGCTCTCCTTTCCAGGCAGTTGGAGAGGAAGTGAGAAGCCGCCGGCCCTGCTTTTCCTCCGGGTGGACACTGGAAAGGAAAGCGAAAGGCCTGCTCTTCGATCCCTGCAGCCTGAGACCCGCTTCCCGCGAAACAGTGCCCACCCGGCTGCCCCGGGCCGGACGCTGTGGGCCAGTCTGCAGCCCATCTCCTCGAGATTGCGATATCTAGAAGGGACTAAGTTCAAATTCACAAAATACCGTGTATTTCTCAATGTCTAAAGAAGTGTCTGGAGGGGACAGTTGGACCCTGAACTATCTCCTAGAAGTCCGTCATCCCTTCCACCCAGACACCCAGCAGCTTCTGGCTCACGGGTGCACCTAGCACATTGAAGGAAGCTTGATGCGGGAATGCAGGCTGGTGCCGACACCAGAACCAGGCCAGACTAGTTAGAGCCACCCAGAGAAACTGTAATTCCAGCTTCAGAGGCCTTCCCCACTAGTGTAGGGGCTCTGCAGTTTCTTCCCCCAGCATCCTCTAGACTTCCTCCTAGACTAAGGTGAACTTGCTTCTTACCCTTCTACCAAGTGGCTTAGCATGAAAGAATAACCGCGACCCAGACCTACTGAAGAGACCTGGCTCAGCTCCCATATACATCTCTCTGGAGCAGACGCAGAAGTTATCCCAAATCCGTCTCCAGAGACGACTGACAGTTGTAGAATTTTAACTGCAGGTGAAAAGCAAGAGTAGGTGGTGGTAGTGGCTATAGCCTGAGGGTGCCAGCGCCCTCCAACCCAGCTCTAGAACCTGCAAGGCCCAAGAGCAGCTAGAGATCTAGGACATACCAAGAGACAGAACTGGGTCCCTTTCTCTGGGCCAGGCCGGGGAGATAGAATCCTTGGGAAACAGCAAGGAACCCTAAAGCTAAAGAAAGGGTCTCAGAATGACCTGGGCAATTGGCAATACTCAGATTTGGCAACAGGGCTTCACATTTTTTTTTTCAAGATTGGAAAAGTGGGATTTCAAGCCTCTGAATTGGCGGTCGGCAATGGCTCTTCCGTTTGGGAAATATTTTCCATATTTGTCATAAAAAGTTCAAGATGTCCGGGGGCTCCCACAGAAAGTTCCAGCCCCCCAGCTCCCTGGCAGCCCCGAGCTCTCTCCTGTGCCAGAAGCAGTCGAGGCAGCGGGAAAAACGGTCCCTCGCGCACCGCTGCAGGGCAAAGAAGGAGGACTGACCTGTTTGCTCCATCAGCGTCCGGATGCCCAGGATGTTGCTGACGGAATGCGCCGAGGGCCACGACCGCGGGATGCTGACGTGGCTTGCCGAGCCGGGGACCCCAGGATGGCCACCCATCTTGGCGCCCGTGGGCGACACGGGGGTGGGGTAAGGGTACTGGTAGATGGGGTTGTAGGGCAGCGCCGGCTGGGGCGGCGGCTGCTTGCTGGGCTCATAAGGCCCGGGCTGCGCCAGGCTACCGATCTTGTTGCGCAGGATGCGGCTGATGGAGCTCACCGAGGGCACGTTGTACTTGTCGCAGACACCGTCGGCCAGCAGCCGGTCGCGGATCTCCCAAGCGAAGATGCCAGGATCTCCTTGCTTGTAGTCCCGGATGTGTTTGACCACGTTTGGGGTGGTGACGCGCGGCTTGCTGCCCCCGATAGCCCCGGGCAGGATGGAGCCGGTCTCATTGTAGCGCGCCAGAATCTTGCTCACGCAGCCATGGGAGACGCGCAGCTGCCGGCTGATGTCACAGGGTCGGATGCCCAGCTGCGCCAGTTCGACGATGCGCAGGCGGATGGCGTTGGGTAGGGGGCGGCCATTCACGAACACGCCGCCCAGCTGGTTCACTTCGCCGTACGTCTGCTCTGCGATGCGCCCGACCAGAACCAGCCAGGGAGAAGAAAACGCCGAAGGTTAGCCACTGGGGGCGGATTGCACCCGGGCGCGCCCCCGAGGGCTACAAGACAGCTGAGTCCAGACGAACCGCCTGGGTCCAGCTCCAGGAGAGCGGCCGCTGAAGGGGACACTGCAAATTCCTGCCTTTTCGCGACCTTTGCTGGTCCACTTAGGGAAACACCCTCCCCAACTTCAGAAACCGCCCGAGAGTTCTGGGGACCCGCAGAATGTGGTTCGCCCGGGAAAGTGAATCCTCATCCCTCCCGCGCCTGCCCGCCCGCCCCTCGCCCTTACCCATGGCGCGCGGGCCGGCCGGCTGCCTGGCGCCGGGGCGGCGGGGGATGGGCCCGG